ATAATTGATGTGTTATTTTCTCGCCACTGTTGTAAGTACACGTGTATAAGGATACACGAGCGCGTGTCGTCGGCGCTGGTTTTAATTTCAGTAATGGAACCGGTTCGCAGATACCATCGATTAATTTACATTAGCTGCGTTTGCATGCATGCATGTGTACATATTATGTGCGCGATTTAAATTGTTTCTTTGATGCGTCCGTTTGCGCATATGTATACAAGCGACGCACTGGTTCATTGGTTCGTTTGAGTTTCGCTGCTGCGAGGATATACGTAACATTGTACATATATACATATGGATTCGGTGAATAAATACCGCTCTGGAGTGTAATCAACTCGTTTAAGATCTACAAGTGAGAGATAGAGGGGTACCTATATATAGAGTTAAAGGAAGAGGGAGTAGCCGAAGCATTTCACAAGAATTGGGTGAGCGATTTTAATAATCTTAATCTGGTTACGAGTAGCTGTATGGTACATGATAGGTGCACCCATACATCGTCTGCAAGTTACGGTGGATTATCACTGTTGTTTTCGTGTCACTTTTGAGATTTCCATGTACTGTAGTGTTGGAATGTTTTTTTTTTTTTTTCTTTTTTTTTCCAAATGGAATTAAATTATCTTGAAAAATAGTGAACCAACAGTTTACGAGTCATACATTATAGGGTGGATGTGGTAAACAGGGTGTGGAGGGGACAGTTGCCTAACAAAGATTCCAGGAAGGTAATTCATTTCATGATCGTCCACTTGAGCTAAACGAAAGATAATTAACATTGACCTCCGCTAAAATGCTGGATGCAGCGAAAGATATGCATGTATACGTAACGAAAACAAAAGAAGAAAAACGTACACGGCCGTCGTTGTATTTTAGCACGTGCACAATGAGTATAGGACACAGTGTTTCTCTCTATCTCTTGACACTCTGTGTACTGGTGCATAATTGAATTGACACGGGATCGATCGATACACGCCACCTTGACGATTCACGGCTACCGGCTGACAATACGTGATTCTTTTGCATTTCTTTCGGTTCACCTGTTATAACTATACCCACAGTGCGCGGATCTTTCATTACGTTGCGCAACGCGATCGAGTACACAAGATTACACCGATATGAACAATGTACCCGCGGTAGCGACGAGTAGTCGTCTATACATGACAATGTATACCTATACGCGGATAACTTGTCGAGAAACACACTGCAGCAGCAGTCATGGTCTCAGCAAGTACGATACGTCGTATACTTACATAGCAGGTGCGCGTATTCATGCGGCGAAGAGTCACGCGTGTTCCGCCAACTTTTGCGTATATTTATGAGCGTTCGCGGGGTCTCAGACATATATACATACACATGACAGTTCTCTATAGTATAGGTATACACACACGATGAGGTAGGTAATCGTGTATACCCAACTCTATAAACACACGAGTATATATACATATCATTGGTGTCATACGCACGTACCGTTTGCAGCTACATTGCAACTGTGAGCTATGAATATATCATTTTAGGGTTTCATACCGATACAGTTTATTGTCCCAACGTGTCGTCGCACTCGGTACTCGGGGAGGGGGGGGAGATGCAAACTATCGGAGTGACAATTCGCACACCGTATACGCGAATCGAGTCTACCACGGCAAGCTTATTATAAGTGGAGACAAGCAAGTGTATATAGGTGTATAAATAAAAGCACGCGAGGTAAGCTCGAAAAGACGTATGTATATATATAATGACACGAAAAGCTCCAACGAGGCGCGCATCCAAGCTGTACTCCATCTAGTCTCTCTGTATGCCCTATCATTATCATACAGCAGCATCGGTATACCTGTAACAATAAGCTCTCCCGACTTGTTCGACACAAAGCCAATGCACACACGCCGGATGATCGCATCAGAGTGTACACATACGCGGTCATGCATCAGTTGGTTGCGCGGAATAGGGAGTTTCTTGAGAGAGGGTATAGGTAGCACTGATTTATACATATATATTATATACGTGCTATTATGTATAACGGCGAACTGCAAAATGCCTCACATACAACACATGTCGAAGAGCGAATGACGAGCCGTGAAAGTATAAGTATACGATATTTGGTATAGGCAAAAATTTGAGGGAAAATTAGTATGGGACCTCGCACGTGCACCTAAAAATTGAACTTTAAGAGTCGTATGCGTCGACTCGTTTTTTCTTCTTCACCGTCGACTGGTACTTGTATACGAGGGAAATAGCAAAGAGTTTTTCCGAGGGGCTGAAGGCGCAAATAACCTTGCGAGTATACGCTTTGCATCCAAAATCGAGAGGGAGTTTTGTATTTTGACCGGGCAAAGGATGCATTTGCATAACGAGAACCGGGCGTGCTAGGCTTTGCGACTGGTTTGTTTTTTTTTTTTTTTTTTGCTTTTTCATTCTACATTTCTATTTTTGTTTTTGTTTGTTTTTTCTTTGCACTCCCACGCCTACGATGCGAAAGGTGAAAGAGCTAGAGATGGAGATGAAAGAGGCGACCAAAATCTTTTGTCTTGCTTTTTTTTTTCCCAACTCCCAGATACGTACACGTATTTGCTGATTGTGAAGGACGTGCTGACGGGCAGCATGCAGGTGGGTGGTATCGCACCGTCGAGGAGGTCGAGATTTTTCTCGCGTTGTTATTGATGATTTCATTAACGAGTACGCGCTGCTCGGCATTTTTCACCCGTGCAACGTACACGATATACTCGCACGAGCCATCTCGTATCTGTCGAGTGGAGAGGAGATAGCTTATCTCGAGCTCCATCGGGCTAGAAATTAAAGAGCGCGCCGCTTTTTACGAGAAAAACACCTCGGCTTTCAAGACTGACCGGCTCCTCTGTGCGCTTGATGTTTCGTCGAGAAAAAATTGTTTCGCGTTTTCTGGGGTGGTTTAAGCTGTTATTTATGGACGAGTAATAAAATTTTCCTCCCGAGATGTATATACACCACATTTACCCGAGCAGAAGATTTCTCGCCAGGGTGAGGTGAGGGGGGAATACCGCGGGAAATGAAATTGTTTTGGCAGCGAAATCGCGATGAAAATGAACTTTTTTTTTTTTTCACCCCCACTACCCTTACTCCCTTTCGTCTTACACTCGAGCAGAGTAAAGCAGTAAATCACGAAACTTCCACGAGACTCTCTCTATCCCTATCTCTTTTCCGTACCAGGAAGAGGAACTTTTCTACTTTAAAAAGCACTTTCCACAATGAGGAGGCCTCCCTACCGAATTATCGTGTCCCTAAATTACTGGCATTAAATAACCCCTCCCATTGTCCGATTTGTACTTTTTTTTTCTTTTTTTTTTTTCGTGCGTGTCGCTCTGTTTTTCCTTTTCACAGCGCGCAAATCGACTCAATGTCCCTCCTCCCAGTCGCGAAAAATAAAAGTCCCTTTGGAAAATTTATCGCACCCCCGCATATAAGTACACGTAGCAAAAAGTGAAAACTCGAGAGCAACGAAACGTACATTTGACACCTATACGTGTGCTCATATACACACCACCGAAATGGAGTTTGCGTGCCGATAAGAGAGCGACAGCTCGACGGCAAAGCATGTGTCAAGGCCGACGCAACACTATCTTTTTTTCCTCGCGGCGTCTTTTGCCTCCTCCACCTCTTTTTTTTTTGTTTCCTCTTCACCGACACACCATTTCTCAGCCACGTGGCAGCACGCGCATCGCACACCGGTGGAATCGACTTTTCACGTTTGTATATACAAGCTCTTTTGGCTCGAGATTTCGCGTTGTTGTGCAAGTCTTTGCCCGGATATCGATTAGTTGGTTAATTTTAGACAATAAGGCTGGGAGCCACGGAATCGATGCAGTACACGTATATATACTATACCGCGTTTTCTTATCAGTCGTTTCAATGTATACCTATTACAGCCACGGTGCTTTGGTCCGCGATTCACGAGAGATCTGTTGTATACATATGTACGCGTGTAGGTATTACGCGTCACCCGAGACGCGCCGAGTTTTTACATTTGAATTTTAAATCAATCGTCTCTCTCCGCGAGTGAGCAGTGCGCAGCCGATCGTCGTGAAAAATGGAGGTTGCCGAGAGGGTATAGGTACGTAATATACGTGCGGAGTGATGAATGGAAAAGTGTCAAAACGGAGCGAACGGAGCATGTGTTTTACGAGTCGGTAATAGGTGTATACACGCGCGTAGAGTTAGCTTGGAAATGGAAATATGAATATGTAGGCGAACCTGTATGTACCTACATGGTGAGGTGAACTCGTGCGGATGGACTGAAAATATATTTACGATGCCGAATTCACGTCACATTTGCATGGGGAGTCGTGCGGCTATATGTAGTGTGTTATATACATTACTTCGCGTTTGCAGTTTTTTGTTGTTGTTGCGTGACACTCTTGTTTTAGATGCACAGCTGTCGATATTTTTGGACAAATGGGCACACGAGTTACACAATTAAAAAAAAAAAAAACCCATTTTTTACGAAAACGTACCTTATAAGTGTACACATTACAGTAGCCAATGGTTTTTATATTATTTAAAAAACCATATCCTGCGTGTACGAGCTATCGAGTAAAAAATTAACATAAATTGTTCACGAGGCTGCGATAATTTTGGGTTTGTTATTAAAATGTTCACAAGTAAGCAGAAACAGCTGTATCGCGTGTTCTCTGTGCTTGCATCAACGTATTATTTTATACATTATAATCGGTCGACTTACCCAATGGACGGAATCAACTGCGGTGACATAATTTTCAGTCTCAAAAAGTTTCGAAACTCCCATAAATTCACTCACAAAAAAAAAAGGAGAAACTGTCGTCTCTACGATAAAACATTGCTAATCGAGAAAGTAACACTGCGCGGAACACTATATGAATACCCCACCGAAGCAGCAGTAGCCGGAGGGGTACAAAAAAACGGCGGTTAAAAAAAAAAAAAAGAGATAAACAACAGCAACCAATCAACGTACAAGGCACAAGGTAGATATGGGTAAGTGTAAAAAAATCAGACACACTCACCCTCGAGATGCGAAGATCCTGATGCTGATCGCAACCACCGTGCATGCGGAAGCCCCAGGGCGAGCCGCCCTCCAAGCACACCTCCCTCGCGCTCATCTCTCCCCCTCCACCTTCCCCTCTTCTTCTTCTTCTTGCTCTCCTCGGCAGCTGCGCCCCCGCAACACCAATCAACCACTCGCGCGTACAATGTGTATTTGTGTGAGTTGGTAAACCACCCCCCGATCGCGTACTCGCCACCCCCCCGATCAACAGCACTCCCCGTGATCCAGACGCAACGACGGCGAGTCAGCAATGATCGTCATCACCATCGTTGTCTTCGAAACACCGGTAGACTGTCGTGCCGTGAGGATAGCACTAAACACGCAGCAACCATACTCGTATACACGACCGTATGTACTCAATCGTAAGACACACGGGGCGTTGATTTTCATTGAAAAAAACCTTTGGAGAGAGAAATCGTTAACCGAACGCAAAGATTTGATTCTCTCCCAACGGATATCGATTTATCGACGCGTACGGCCTCACCGATGCTGTGCTGCCGCTGTCGCGGGGGCTTCCGCACTGGCTGGCGGCTGATGCTCGCGCTAGCCGCGCACCAGCCGGGAGTTATATATCTCTTCTTCTCTCTTTCCTACATGCCTGTATAACACCGTGCTAGCTCTACGCTATACACATACATACATGCACTTGCAGAGTCTCTCGCTCCTCTTTGACGCGCGCCCGCGCAATATCGCCGCTCTCGGCTTGACCCCACCGCGCCCGCGTTATCTCGCTCTTCCCTATATATACGACCGTCGGAGGCTGCAACAGCTATACACACAGGCGCGATAATACGACGCACAGGTGCACCGATCAGCTGGCGAGTGTATACCACCGAGGCGCCACTCGCCGTGTGCGATACACCCGCGTGATTCTACGCACCTTATACTATGTTTATCGCCTCACTCGCGAGTGCACCGTTTTCTTTGTTGTCTATAGATATATTTACTTTTTGCACAACACTTGTGTTATTGTACCATACGTGCGATGAACGACCTTTACTCGGGAAGAGCCGGCGCAGTGTTTTGTGCTCGTATGGGTAGTTTTGATCGACGTCTATTGGTTTTTCATTTCGGCTTGTGTCGTGACAGTGGCGCTTGGTTGGGGATCTGCAATCAGAAAGAAGAGGTACATGCTTTTTTTTTTTTTTTTTTTTTTCAAGAAAAGTCGGTGATGGTTCAAGAGTTTTGATGGGACTAAATTATATAAAAATAACTCCTCGAGCCATTTGCTTGCAGCGCTCGAGTTTCAACGTTTACCAAGTATGGTTTTCGTTGATGGAAGAATGGACAATGAAACAAAAACGAAAATCAACTAAAAGCTCGATAACAACGTGTCTTCATTTTTACTTTTTTCATTGGCAACCCCCGTCCTCAGCCTTGTTATTGTTGGTTTCTTTCACTCAACCCTCCCTCTTTACTGATGAAACAAACAGTTTTTTTTTTTTTTTTTTTACTCAATCATCTTCAAATGGATAGCCTCGTCCTTAACTGGCGAAGCTCGTCGTCTCGAAGAAAATACTTACAACTGAAGAAAACAATACTCATCCCTCCCGACTATCCCCCAAACTGTAGTCTCTTTTTATGTATCCTCGTGCCGGAGAGACATTTTTCCTTTTGGCGCAGCGCTAATTGAAACCTTAGCAACATCCGCAACCGAGAGGGGCAAAGCTAACCGAAACATGTCAAAAGTCCTTCTTTCCAATTAAGACACGCGCGCGCCCGCGAGACAACGAAATCTCTTTTCCTTCCGGTAATGGACGGGGGTAAAGGGGACGTTTTCGAGAAAGCTCGGACAGCCGACTCTCTGCGGTCGCGGGCTCTCTTTGCTTAGCATATGCTAATTAAAAAACTTGGCTGGGACTTTAATACGAGCCGACGTGTCGCGCGTGCTCGCCCGCTTTGCCGGCACGTGTATAGTCATGTACTTTATTATCATGAGGAAGAGACGTCTGGCGTTGCTGAATTTTTTTTTACAACTACAGTCGCGCACCTGACATTTTTACGGAAGAATGTTCACAACTTTTACCACGCAAACTACGGGACTTGAAAATTGTTCATTATCGGATAATTATATGTATATGGGCTTCGAGAATCGCCGGGATTATGAAAGCCGAAAATGATTTACCATAGGCAGCATTGCCCAATTTCCAAAAGTATTACACGTGTACGTATGAATCCCGTTTGATCCGGCCGCCTCCTTGGCTCTCGGGCGTCAATCGAGTCGATGCGGTTCTGTTCACGAGTGAGAAGGTACACACATTGTAAATACAACAGCTAATTCAAGGTTTGGCTCGAGACTTGTACCCCTTTCGTCCTCTTTTTTATTGATTTTCTTAACACGTTATTTTCACAAGATATGGTAGAACAAGAATTACCATTTTTTCTGATCGAGTGGTCTGTAGCCATTTTAGAAACAAAACGATACACGTACACGGGTGAACTAGAATCTCTAATTGCCACGCAGCAGCGAAAGAAAGGAAAAAGGAAGGAATTTCCGATGCTCAATTGACTTCTCGAAAAAAAGGCCCCCGACGAGATCCTCGCGATCAACCGGACCGATCGATCGTTCCACGAACCGCGAGGCATCGATCAATTAACAAAACACACAAACCGCCTACGCATCAACTCGGCCGCTCTTCTGCGGCCCCTTTCTCTCCGAGGCACTGCACCTGCAGTTCTATGAGCTTTCATCGTCCGCGGCGCTGAGAAAAAGTTTCAGCTAAAACGCGATGGGAAAACCGGCTGGTCCGGTTCTATAGGTGCGTGTGGCTATTCACAGGGGAGGGCAAAAACCGAAGAGGTGACACATACGCACACACGCTCTTCCCTCCTATATAACACGCCATTTACGCCCGACTGAGTCATTGGCTGCTGTCGGAAGGTCGATTGTGTACAATCCGGTAGCAGAGAGGCGGCAGCAGCAGGAGGGAAAGAGAGCGCTTGACATCCGCCGCCTATTGCGGAACTGGACGAGTCTGGGTCAGCTGGAGTGATTGATGGAGTCGACAATGGGAACCGTTATCCGGCCAGATACATGTGTATCAATTATTGTTTTTTTTTTTTTTGCCATTTTTAGAGTCATCGATTTTATTCAACTCGAGCTTCCAATCATGTACGGTCGAGTTACTTAAATTGTTGCTCCGATGGGCGAGCTTGTGAAGGAGATAAACAATGATGTAACGAAATTACGTATGTACGAATCATGCAAATTTTTTGTTTGTTTTCAGTCATATCTCACTCGGAGTGGCAAAACACGAGTAACAATGAATCAATTCGTAGCGTTAACGCATACCAGCGCAGTAAGTATATGCTCAAGAGGAACTGTGAATTGGGTATTCGGAGCGTCATGCGTGATTACTAAGTATGCAAAATAAGAGGGAACGAGCTGGTGCAGGCAGTATATATATATATATGTATATATAAATACGACGGTAATAACGCCAAGTAAACGGCACATCCAACTAGTGTAGCGGTGAATACGCAAATATGTGTGTGAGTAGTACGCCGATGACAGACCTTTCTCGACGGGCTGCGATGCGGCAACGGCGTCGCCGCCACCGCTGCCGCTAATGGTCACCGTACTGTCTCCCATGTGTGGCCATTGTTTCATTTTCCTCGGAAGCTCGTGTGTACAAGCACGTCGACGTCACCTTCACGGAATCCTCAGCACGTGAGTGTCCTTGATTTTGGACATTGATCGCGAGTGAGGTGCGACGCCGGCAGACGCGTTGTTACGGCACATAGTGTAGAAGTACACTCCGCGGTGCGTCCTTAAGGGTTGTTTGCCGGCGCCATGCGGCGGACATGACAATGCGGAGGGGTAGCTCATAGATATAGTTGGCGGAAACTCGGCGCACGCGCCCATCGGAATCCCTTGGAGCTTTGGGCTTTGGCTTTCTGCGATTAAGCGCCATCGGACATGTGTGGAAAGCGTTGGTTGGTCAAATTCCGGTTTGTCGATATGAATTTGCCGCCAGTGCTATAGTGCAGGGTGAATCTTTACCGGTTGCTGGTAAATTACCATCCACTTGCCGGCTGCTGGTGTAATAGATGACGGTCAGTTGATGAATAACGATTTTTTTTTTTTTTTTTTTTTTAATTAAGTACATTTTTTGGCTTAATTTGTTACTTTTTCCTTATTCATTGCAATGATTCTTGTTTTACGGTTCATGTTTCAGAATTTTATTTTAGTTTGGTTTAACACGAGACATTGATGCTAATGATGCTTCAAAACAATTGTAGGTGGCAGTGCTTCGGTACTCGTGTGTTTAAAACTGGATGAGAAAGTGACAAACGTAAGCACATGAAAAGTATCAAGTGACTGAAAGTAGAATTCCAAACTTTGGTTTCAAGGGTTGGAAAAAATCATTAAGACAGAAATGTGTATAAATTAAGTATCTTTTATTCATAAAATATTCATAAAGTATATATTAGGCACACACTTGTAAGGTATTATATTTTTTTCACACGTTTTACAATCGTTATCCTAATCTACGGTTACAGCATATTCTTACGAGGTAACTTAAGACTATTGCGCTATGGAAAGTTTTAAGAAACATTTTTGCTTACAAAAAATCATTTAAGGCACCTTGGTGAAACCGGAATTCGTCAAATTATAAAGGAAATTGACAGTAACGTTAGCTTAAAGGTAAAAACATATAGATTTGACGCTATAAGATGAAATTTCAATGTTTTTTAAAAAAAGATCTACAAAATTTGATTAATTAGCATTTCGAAAGAGTTTGTTTTCAAAAGTTGAAATATTTGATGATTCGTTGAATTTTTTGAATGTACAATACGTTGATCGAAATACAAATTTCATCTTAAATTTCATCTTATAAATGTAGTATTCGATAACAAAAAACGAACAAAAAAATTGTAGGCATAAACAATACGTAAGTATTGATTATGTACACAATTTTAAATAATAAAAACAACTTGGGTTTAATGTTTTTTTTTTTTTTTTTTTTTTTTTTTTTTTTGTACCAAGTTAGAAGAGTAATGTATTTTTTTATACGGAAAAGACATAAAGATTACCAAAATATATATACGCACTGATGTTTTATTATCCTTGTACTTCTATCNTTTTAAGAAATTTTTTTTTTTTTTTTTTTTTTTTAGGTAAGTCAACGAATGGGGTTTTCAAGCTTATAAATAAAATCATAACGAACCTGTTTGATCACTTGATCAACAAAGTGAGCACCATTTAACATCTAACAAAGTGTCTCGGAAAATTTTCAATCATTAATCATGATTTGATCAGATGATTAATTTCATAAACAGTGTTTGATTGAAGCTCAATATAGTCAAACGTTAACGTACAACGTAAGAACAGTTAAACACAAACGTAATAAGTGTGAGTTGTAAGAAACTTTTAATTAAAACATTTATTCAATTCAAACAAAAAACTTAATTTTTTAAACAGAGTTCTCTTGATGACCAAACTTAATTCAACGATTACAACTAATAACACAAAAACGGAATTCCAAAATAGTCGTGAACATTAATACGAATCATTTGTAATTAACATGTCATAAAATGAATCGTAAATTTATTTAATTTTTTTTTATTTTGAACAAACGTATTTTAGTTTAACTCATCATATAACCAACTTTTAAATTTAATATTTTTCATGAGCAAACTTAATTTAACCAATGATAAACAATGCTTAGTAAATATAATGAAAACAACTGAGAACGTAAAAGTTTCAGTACAAGGAAAAAAAAAAAAAATAATAAAACAATTCCAGTCAAAAACTGTTGAATTAAAACTTAAGAATTTCGAGTGACCATTAAACCAAATAACTCTTTAAAGCTAATCCCATCCGTAAACATAACAGAAATTAAAAATGTGAAGAAAAACGAATAAGCGTATGAAACACCCAAAGGGCGGCACCTTTTGAAGAAAAAAAAATGATCCAAATAATAACATAACAAGTGTTTAAACAAAAACAAACATGAAAAACAGAACAAACTTATGTAACTATTAAAAAACAATAAACACAAGCAGTTTTTCAGACTTTAACGAGTCATCAACATAATCAAGTAAACTGCCAAAGAAAGTAGAAAAATAACAATCGCAAGGCACGGTTGGTAAAAGAACAATGGGTAATAATTCTGAAAGACTTGCCGAAACAGATTGAAAAACAAAACTCAATGAAAACCAAACTTAATTCAACAATTGAAAAACAAAACAATTTTATCAATCAAACTTCATAGGGAAAACTTTTATTAATCAAAGACAAAATGTGCCAACAACAATTTTTTTATTCTGTACTTTTTTTTTTTTTTAACAAGACAAGTTTTCAAATTCAACTACTGAACAATAATCAAAATCAACAAAAATTTTACAACGGAAAAAATTCAAGTCAACCAGTTAAAAAGAAGTGAATAAAAGTATGAGAACATAAAATATCTGATGATAAGTAAAAAAGATGTAAAAATAATTTTAAAAACATGTGAAAGCGAGAAAAAAATTTTAAAAAACTGTAAGGTGGCTCTAAGAAACTAAAAAAATTAAACAAAACGAAAGTGCCATGATTGAAATAACGTAAAAGAAAAAAAGGGTCAGTTTCATTAAGGACTTTCCATCGAACGCAACTAGCCTAAACGTCTTAACCTAAGAGTCCAAACATCTTATTCTACTCCAATGTTCAAGTTCGTGAGTGTTATACGCATTTCAAAGTGAATAAAAACCTTAATCTAAGATAATATGACCGTCAGGGATAAAGTATTAAAGATGGAAAACAATGGATTATGATCGAATATGGTTGAGCATATTCGAAATGAAAAAGATGGAACTAAAAAAAAGGAAAAAAATGAAACAAACGTTCTACCAATCGATCCAAGTTTTGCTGCTTTTACTATACGTATCCTAATGCTTAACTACTGTTACCTTCGCCAGTATGTGGTTATTAGAAACGCGAGACCGAAAGACATGCACTACTTCCCTAGTAGATAATAAGTTCTAATGAAGTAACTTGACCAAAAGTTGCGCCTTCATTTGTTCACAAATTGAGAAACTCACGTAACACTACAAAATGGAAGAAAAAAAAACACACGAAATATACGTACGTATTGAGTCTTAGATACAAACATGACTAACACTACGAATGAAATTTAATAATTCAACGTTGAATCTTTGTACAAAAGCAAATTAAGAATATTAAACTACTTGTTAGAAAACGAAATAAGGATTATGTACTAGTCTACAACTTCTAGCAAATTTTATCATCCTAATGTTAAAAGTCAATTGATGTGATTTTACACCTTCTGCAATTGATTACCAGGGTCTTCATCCACTTTAGTGTAACAAAAATTTATCAAAAAGAATAATATACTGTAAACTAAAGAAAAATCAAACGAAAAATGACCTTAACAATCTCTCGATTATTTTATTATTATTTTCTTTTTTTTAGACAAAATTGACCTCAAAACCAAAAAAAAATCCAATTCAAATTTAAATTCTAGTAGAATGAATCAAATTATTAAGCCCACTTGTCAATTTTGATAAATAATTGAGAGATTCACTTTCAAGGGATAACGAAAATAAAACGTAAAAAAAAAATTAAACGTTCACAAATGAGTAAAACAAATAAATTAATAAAGTTTAAGAAAATCAAAATAAAACATAAATTTTCACTCTGTGAAGGAAAAAAATTCTTGTTAAAATAGTTCTGCGTTCAGCAGACGAATTTCGAGAGAAATATCGCTGTACAAAAGTAATTCAAATTTTTTTGGATTTTGAGTTACAATCATACAAAAAGATATGTTATTTATATCTTTCGGAATTCGTCAGCTCTTTTCTGTAGCCATTTCTCATTTATCCTAAAAAACAAATGTTATAACGATTTCTTCGGAAAATTTTTTTTAAAGTATCCTATTACAAATTTTTAACAATGATTATTTTTCTTAAATCGATGTTTGTATTTGTATCAGGTGACAACTTTTAAAAGTATTGATGTAACTGTCAGCAATTTACTTAAATTTTTGTCCTGTAGTCGAAATGTATAATGTAGTTTTCTGAATAAGTAATACAATTATGAATTTCCCACTTATTTTTCTTGTTTTTCATTATCTGCATAAGAAATTGATCTTATGTTTTCTGATTTTTTTTTTCTTTTTCTTGAAATTGTTATGGAATAAAAAAAATAATGCTCTAAATAAAATAAACTTAAACAAAACAAAACTTTAGATACTTTTTGTACAAAAACCATCAAAGTTCTCAGTCATAGACTGTACGTGGTTTTATAACAGTATAAATTATTGAGCTTTGAGTGCCGAATGGCTGCTGTTTGTGTATCTGAGTTGTGAGCATCTCATTTTTTGAGAGCCAAATTAGATGGCTTTTTAAACAAAAAGTGACCAAAGTAAAACAAAAAACAAACGAAATAAAAAGCAAAACAAACAAAACAAATAATCATGTTCTTCGCCTCTTTTTAAATCAACGAAAATTCAATCAAAATTAATAATTTTTTTCAGTTTCAGAACTTTTAAGAAATTTTTTTTTTTTTTTTTTTTTTTTTTTTCAAACAAAATAATTATAACAACAACAGAATTTTACTCGTATGTTCGATAATTAATAGTTTATGTACAAAATATATGACAGCGCATAATAACTAAAATAAAAATTAAACGCAAAAGAACGCAACTCCATTGAATTTGCCTTAAAATTATTAAAGCTCCTAGTTCTACAGACAGCCATACTTGCAGCGATCGAAATGAGAGCTTTGATAAATATTATTATGAGTTTAATCATAACAATATTTTCTTTTCGCTTTTCAACTATGTCCGTTTCCTGAATTTTATGCAAAATGCCAATGATTAGTTTTATAATTGTTTTTTAATCAAAGCCCTTTCAAATGTTTAAATGTCATTTGAACACCCAATGGCGATGAAGAATTTGTTGTACTACTCAGTTAAATAGGTTTTTTGTAACTCGAAAAAGTGTAAATTGCTTTTTAATTTAGAATGTCATCGCTATTGCGTCTTTCGTAGTATGAACGATTTATTTTTTTTGCATAAAGTATACCACTAGTACATATCGGTTTTATGATATTAATTTAATTATATGTAAGTGCCTCTTAACTTATGATAGTTAAAAAAATTATGAAACGAAAGTCATACGTTATTAAAGTGATGATATCATCCAACGACGGTGGCGGTCCTCGACGAGAGAAAGCGTCCCACGATGAATAAACGTAAAAATGCCCACGTGATTGATAAATTCGCTCCGAAGGAATCTTCAGTTTGCGAATACTTTTTTTGCCTGTGAGGTTTTCTTCAACTGTGCTTCGTCACGCCTATGCTGTAGGCGCATTTTTTGGTTTCACGTTGCTTGTTGTTTGCTTACCGAAATGCATCGTCGCCTTGGATTGATTTTGATTGGTCTTGATGGTAAATTTCCATTGATACCCTTTCGGTCGGAACTTGATTTTAGATTCTGAAAAATATTTTTTTATCGGGGCGTAAGATAAACGGAATCTTCTTTGGACTAAATTCTAATTAAAGGAAGAAACGGAATCTAAAAAATCTGAAGCCGAGCCGAGAGCGACGAGATTATCGGAGACTTGTGCTTTGAATTGAGTATGCTAATTTTGTCAAGTGGTTCATTGACTCAGTACTTTACGATGTCAGCGATTGTTCTCGGTAGTATAAAGTGTCTTGAAAAGTTATTAATTCATCTCTGTAAATAAAAATTGTGATTTTGTAACATAATTTAGAGGTGCTTCTCTTGCAGTGACTATTGTTTTCCAAGTGTGGTTCTAATATGCTCATTCAAAAGCATAGTCTTGAAGATGTGTTTTTGTTTTTTTCCCGTAGTTTGTTGTCAAAGCTCGAAGAGAGATAAAAATTTATAAAACTTGTTTTTCCAGTAGCCATTTGGAGTCGCCTTGATTTTGCATTCTTTACTTTTTTTGTGATATATTTTTCTATTGGTGGTAAAAATTGGTTGGTTGACCAATTTATTACCAAGCTTTTAATTGTCTGGTTGTTTTGTGCTGTAATGATGATAAGCTATTTTGGTATCGGTTGCTATGAAAAACAAAACATTGTTTTCTTCGTTCGTTGAAATTTGTCAAATAATGATGTACTATTTCTCATCTGTAAATCAATCTTGCAAAACTGAAGGATGTGTCTCAAATAATATAAATTACTCTTGGTTCATAACTGTTGAAAAATCTGATTGATTTGAGGCTTAGTGAACTTTGGATTGTTTTTGATGACGACTCCAATCTGGTGATTGCGCTATTTTTAAAATGCCGTTTCTGTCAACAGAGAAATCAATTCAGCTGATCGCCTCCATCGCAAGTACCCTTGTGGCCAGACATATCCTTTTACTTTTATTAATCTATGGCTTCTTGATCTATGATACACGGTGTGCTGTTGTTATCTAGTTGTGTTTTCGTCGACTTCGATGCTCTTCTATCCCGTTCTCGTTTTTATGAAAGTGCTTGATTTTCTATACCTAATCCTGTTAAATAAATAACACCAAGTGGTTACAACGATAAACCTCTTTTTACATTGTTCCCAGAATATTCGTCACAACTTACCAGAACTCGTTGATTTTTTTCATTTCGCGGTGTTGTTAGCGTTTTGCTCTACAACTCGATGGTGGTTAACAGAACAAAAAATGATGATCTCGGAATGACTCGTCCGCTTGTGTTGCCTATTATCTGGAAATTGGTCTCCAGTGGTTGTCAGTGGATCCTCCGTGCCTGGGTCCATTTACGAGGCAGTTAGCTGTCGGTGCTCTGCCAAATCCGTTCTTCTTCCAGGGGGGGGGGATGCTCGTGTGAGGGTGAGAGAGTGCCAAGTGAGTAAGTGGGCCGTTAAGTGCCTCTCCGTTGATCCTTCGCTCTCAGCAGTGGTTGGTGGAGTCGTTCGTAGCAGCGGTGTTCCCATGGTCTATTGCAGGACCTGGAAGGGTGTGAGCCTTAACTACGAAGCATTACCAAAATGGATAGGGAAAGAAGTTGAGACGTATGAAATGCGAGAGCACCGAGAGAAAGAGAAGTTGGACAGGCTGAATGGTTACGACGGTAGGAACAAGTAAGAGAACATGAACGGACATTCAAGACAACTATTGTGCGTGCTGTTTGTGTGAGAGCTCGATTTTTGTAATTTTCGTTGTTCTTTAAAATTCTCGGGGGGTGAGAAAGAGACGGGGGGAGGAAGGCGACCGGTGGAGTTGAACGAAATATACAAATGTCGCTGGATGGGGTCCGAGGAGCTGTGCAAAATGAAAGACGACGCGCGTACTGTTTGGGGACCAAGTTGAAGGGGACCGTCTTCTTTTGTGCCACGTATAACGTATCCGAGGGTCTGCTTGTGAATGGGGGAATGGTTGGAAGGGCCCAGGGGGAGTATGGCTATTGTTCGGTAAGAAAAGTCAAGTTCTTTTGTTTCTTGTGCTTTTAATATTTTCACCAGTGGTTGCGTTATGTTGGTTTTGCTTTGTACAAGTATGGATTTTTACTCGAGGTGTTGATGATTTTGCATTTGCAGTGAGCCTGAATTTGTGGTTCAAATAAGTTGAATTTATATAAAGTTGTTATTTTTGAAGCTTCGATCGAGGTTGTTTTTTTTCGTGGCTATGTGCTTCATTGATTTCTAGGCTGTTTTAGTGAATTTATGATTTTTTGTTTTCGACTGCAAAGTTTTTTTGGATGGTCATGTTTGGTCTATAAATTTTGGAGATTTGAGCTTTTTGCGACCGGTTACGTCCAGCATTTGTTTTGGTTTCTGTGATTTTCTATGTATTCAATGCTTCGATGGCTAATTCAAACTGTAATTTTTGTGTTGTCTAACCGATACATTTTTGAATAATTTCGAATAGAAAAATTTAGTTATTTCTGAACTGGTTTTCGGATGGTTTTTTTTCAAAATAATGTTTCTTCAACCTGAATCAAAAAAATTTTTGCTTTTAGAATCTATTGGTGAAGAATTGAATGTTTTTTCGGATTATTTCAAAAAGAATTAATTTTTAATCGAACTCTAAAATCAATTTCTTTAATCTGTCATTGAATATGAATTTAGTCTATTAGGACTAATATTGCTGTTATGATTTAGAGGTGGACAAATTTGAAGAATATTTTGGTCGGAAAATATTTTGTTTGTAAAGCTCATACGAAATATATTTTTTCAATACAATTTTTTTAGTTGTGAAGAGCGTTTTTTACATTTATTGCACTATTAAGTTATTTGTTGTGATTGCACTGATTCAAACGGAATTTTTAAATCTCATGACATATTTGAAACTGTGAATTTTGTTATTTTTGTTTAAGTAGAATGAATCTTTTTGATGCATACTGTCAGAAATAAAATTTTGTTGAAATCTTCTATCTAGATGGTATAATTTTCATTTGTTTTTCCGAGGCTTTAATTTGAAAAAAGTTTTTTATGAGATAATCGGCAACTTGTATGTTCTTTGCAATCAAGACTATTATTAACCATACAAATAACTATTTTTATTAAAAATTTGTGATCTTGTATTATATTTTTCCTTACTATTTTTCAAATGTCGATTGTATTTTAGTCGATTCTTCCAGATGTTTTTTAAGTGTGGTTGAAAACATAAATATTGTTTTATTAGTCCACTTTTTATTTCAAATTTAGCTATTTTAACGCTGTCGTATTCTTTTGACAAATCAATCGTTACATTTCAGTGAACAAAAAAAATCAGCATTTAATTTCGACGTGGTCAAGAATCATATACTTTTGCTGTCTCTGATCAAACGGAATTTGGATGTCAAAACAAAGATTTCAACGACTCTTTCGATTAAAATATTGTAAAAATATTCTGGACTGAAATTTATTTTTGCTTCTTGTTTTTTTGGCTTTGCTTTGAATTCCTGAAATGGTACTTTTGAATGATCTGCTTATTTTTGTCTCATTGAAAGTAAACTAGACAGTCTCGTAGCTGCGGCTAGAGTGAAAATATTGCCAGATAATGATCTGCATTTCATGGTGTGGTCAGAGTACCTGAAAAAATGTAACCTTGAAGATACTATGTTTTTGGACAAAGGGATCGGTTGCGCAAGCTGTTGGGTGTAGACTTGTGGCCAAGTGGTTCAGGTCCCGAGGACTGTACCTGTTGGACGTGATCGTACATTTTTTTTCGGTTTCTTTCCCCACTTCGAGAGATGGCAATAACAGGCGGGGGCTTCCTCTTTTTTCTCGGAAGGTTACATGCTTGGCTGAATTTTGCACGTGTCACGATTTCACGGTTTGTTTTTTTGATGATTGCTGAGACCGTTTTAAGGAAATGTAAAAAACAAACAAACAAATATTGCCGTCCGAGAGTGAACTGTTTCAAAAAATATGTAGACTTTTTGGTATCTCAACAAATTATTTCTGAATTCGATGGCTTTCAACGGCATCTTTACACAACTTTTTAGCATACGGTCCAAAGGGTTGTTTTGATAAAATTTCTAGTTCCCGTTTTGCCTCGATCTCTCGCCCCTTGCGTCCAAACAATTAAATTTCGGAATTTGCAGATGTATTTTCAGGAATGACAGCCAAGAATTAAAATGATTGCCAAAAGTGATCGTTCGATTGTTTATGAGTTTCAGCGTTCGATGGTGGTAGAGAAAAGGGTGACGAGAGACCGATAGAAAAAACGAGAACATTGGATTTCGAGTACTTGTTGCGCCGTGAATCGTAACAGGTTTATATGTTTGGGATGTGCGATAATGAGGGGCGGGGTGCATATAAATTGCGCGTCGGCTTTTGTTGTGCGTGTACACGCAGAGGGGTCGTCGTCACTTCCGGCACTCGACGGAAACGGCACTTGTCGTCCCGCCCTCTGTCCCTCGTTTTATCCTCCCCTTTTGACTCATCTAATAGCCATTGTGCATCGCTTTACCTTTTTTTTTTTTTTTTTTTTTTTTTTTTTTTTTTTTTTTTTGTTTTTTTTTTACTTTGAAGTTAATTCGTTTTCAGTCAAAACGGAAGGTTCGATCGTTTTATTGGCTTTTGAAATCGTGATAATGATTTTTTTTGCTGATTGTTGTTATCAAGATATATATATTTAATTTTGAATGAGTCGATGACCGGTTGTTTTTCTATGATTTTCAGGGAAAACGTGCGCTTTCGCGAGGCCGAAAGTGATTACAAATTTTTCTGTGTTTTTGTATGAAACAGTAACAAACCATGCGATTTGTAGATACAGACCAAGATAAGTGACTAATTGGTTTACAGTACGAATAACGTGCTATTTAGGATTACAAATTTCGTGTGCATCGTCTGTACAATTTTAACAATGAATATACAATGGCAAGTATCTATTACAACACATAGACAAACAATTTAGGTCGGAGAAGACTCGCGACCGAAGGGTTGAGCAGCTGTAACGGATTTTGGAAAAAATGATTTTTGCACTCTTGGTTATTTATGTGTGTATATTACGTGTTTAATAAATAAATGGCCAAATCTATTTCTGTACTAGTTAACTTTGTGAAATATTTATGGAGTGATTTTTGGATGGACCGGAATATTGTTACAATACTGACACTTGGTGAATTTGAATTAAAAACAAGATCCAGAAAAAAAATTTTGCTATTTCAATTTTGCGATCCGAAATTGTTGTGCCTTCGATGCGAGTCTTCTCGATGATTTTTCAAACTATTTCAAACGTCAAAATTCACAGCCAGAATGATATATAACGTGTTTTAATCGTACAATTTTTCGTAACAACTATTTTTCAGTGCAGGTACTCGTTGCGTATTGTGTCAAAACTATTTGCAAACACTATATCTTACGTGGGCAGCGGATGTTGTGGATTTTTTACAATTATTATTATTATTTTTTTTTTTTCGTGCCAGTATATTTTTGCGTGACTATAACGAGTTGCGGTTTGCTAATGATTTGTGACAAATAATATGCTACGTAATTATATACAAACGAATAAATACTATGATTTTTTTTTTCAAACAATTATTTTTACACTAGATTTTGCGAAGTATCGGAGCTAATAAATATGAACTTGCACTAAAAACTAAAAACGACTAAATACATGGATAGAAAGAACAGAAACGACAATGCAGGAAGCAATACCCAATTTTGGTAATAATTTTGACATAATTTTGACTACTCTAAATGCCAAAGTGATCGCGTGAGATTTTAATTGGAATTTGACATTTCATCTTTTTGAACGAATGAGGGTCTTAGTGCTTGGATAGAGTAAGGCCTAACGCAAAAAATGTGCGAACAACCGAGAGACCAAAACTTGCAAATTTTAAGCCAATCGACCGACGAATCTCGCCGCGGGTGTACTAATACAAGATAAATCGACGTCAGTACCCTACGTATATTACATCTCTACCGTGATTCGGACTAGTTAAAAGTTTTTTTTTTTCATCATTTCAATCGCTTAATCGTCGCGACTGTTTCTCTCTTTTACGGGTATCGTGACAATTGAACTCCTCGTAAATCACTCTGTCCCGTACATTTTTCACGCTTGCGGTCGGAAATCGAGTTACCCGGTTCAACGAGGCGTGAAACAAAACAAAGTTACGTTTAACTCGCGTGCGCGACCCTCCTCTCGCTCATTTGATTGTTACTCTGATTATTATGATTTTTTTTTTTTTTTCATAGTTCATCACACTTGTAGCGCTATAATTTTTAACGGTGCGATTACTGTGTACGCGAAATCCGAGTTAGCGAACGGCAAATTTTTGTCTCGTGCGTGGGTGCGTAATTTTAGGCTGGATAGTCCGACATCTGTTTCCATACGATTGGTAACGTTGCGTGTGTGAGCCCTCGTATTTTTTGTCAATTTATTTATTCGCGGCGTGTCATCGTTTTGGAAGCTAAATAATTCATGTTATAGCCGAGAAAACGTGATTTGAGTAATTTTTACCGGCGATAGGAAAAAAAACCGAGAGCCGAAAGTGTCCTGTTTATCGTTTTCAAACAGTTTTCAATGGTTTCGTGTATCCAAATGTAAAGTATACGCGACTTGTTTTCACCTTTTTTCAACTTTTGCACGTTGCGTCGTCGAAAATAATCGAAAGAAATCTTTTTATACTGTTTTTATTTCAAAGGGTACGTGCTCACACACACCTACACGCACGCGAGTAAACGCGAATTTACATCTCGACTGATTTTTTATTTTTATTTTCATTGAGAACTCAAAGTCCGTGAGTCTATTCGGGTGGAGGCGTGAATTTTGAGACTTTAGTTTTGTAAAAAAAAAAAAAAATAATAAAAACGAGCGGCGAGATTTCCCGGTCGATCGAGCAAATGTCGAACAAAGTGCGTTTTCGATCGAATTTCGAGTAGTCTATCGGAGCACCAAAACCGTCCGAGTCTTTTGCAAAAAAGCGCAGCCAAAAAAGTTTTTTATCTTTTGAAAATTACTTTTATCTCTTTATTTGCTTTTTTTTTCTTTTTCTTTTTTTTTTGTGAAAAAACTTTTTTGAATTTTGACAAGGCCGAAAGGTACTCACCTCCGTGTTTGCCGGTCCTCCGTCTTCCCGATCACGTTGGCGGCGTCGAGCCGATCGATTCTTTTATTTTCTTTCTCCTCATCAGCTTCGTCGTCTTCTTCCCAAGATCTGCGACAAAAAATTCGTACGGAGCACTTCCGGTTAGTCTGGCTGCCAATTCCTCGAGAGCACTTTCTTCCTATTCAAGTCGATGTAAATAAAATAAACTCCGGTACTAGTGTTACTGTGCGACAATCGTTGCGTTCTTTGGCGTTTTTTTTTTAAATTTTTTTTATTATTATTATTCCGTGTTAAAAACGAAAGCAAAACGGAAAAAAAGAAAAGAAAAAACTCGAAAAATGAAGAAACGAAAATAATATCGGCCCAGAGGAGGCTGGGTCAGTCGCTGGACTTGGCGGAGCGAGGGAGCGGCCGTGCGAAGGGGTCGACTTCCCTTGCGAGCGCCATGAGGGGGGACCCGGGCCAGCCGGGCTGACACTCGGGGCGCTCCTCTTCTCGGCCCGACTCGACTGGGAGCCGCGTCCAGCGACTGTTGTTGCTCGCTGCCTCTGTGGACTTGCACTGTGCCGAGTACCGGGGCGCCCGGCGCTTTTATAGGCCCCTAAGCACGTGGAGGCCCTTTCGAAGACGCGCGAGGGCCGCTCTGGTGGGGAGAACGAGCACCTATAGGTGGCTGCTGCGGCGGCGAGGGGAGGCCATGGGAAAATATTGGCCACAATGGGCAGTGTATAGCAGCCAGAGGGAGTCGGCTTCCCCCTCGTTTGCCGTGCAAGGCCCGAGCCCTTCGTTGCCCCACGTAAGTATACCTGTTCCGTCCACGGCTCTCCTGTAGGCCTTTTTTTCTTCCTCTCCTTCTTAGATCGGGTGGACTGAAACAACGAGCTGATAGCTGCAACGACCCTCTCTCGGTCAAGGGTTCCTCACGGCGGCGCGTCTTTTGCGCGTGGCTCGAAATCGAGTTTGCTGAATTTCACGGTTTGTCTATGGCTTATGGGTACGCAAAGTACATATACGCGTGAGGAGCTGATGATACCTACGTGCCCCAGGGGACACTTGAATACAAGAAACCGATATCCAAGGAAGGTCTGAAATGAACGAGTTTCATCAGAGATCTGATTGGTATTTTCTTGAAACTGTGGTTGTTTAAGGAAAATCTCAACTGTAGGTGGGTACCTAAGATTTCGCAGCGCGCATCCCCGATGTATTATGTGTCTTTGGTAGCAGTGGAAAAGTATAAGGGGCCCCAAAGAGCTTGCAGGTGCGAGGGACAGATCCATCCGTTTTTTCGGCTGCGTGCACCTATGGAACGCACACACACACACACACACACTGGTAAAATGTATACGCAACGCGTTTTTCAGGGAGGGAGCATCCCCTGGGAACCCCTAGATCCAGGTGACGGAGCCTCTCCCTTCCTTCCCGTTGGCTCCGGAGCCCTTTGACTATACCGGCTCGAAGGATTTATCGCGCTCCGGTTCTCTCTCTTTTCGGCAACTACAGCTTTCTTGCTTTTTTTTCCTTTTAATATTGTCTTTCTTATGGAAATCACCGTCGGTTACATGGTTTATTGGGGCATACTTTTACGACTCGTCAAGCCAGCCTCTCGATATCTTTTTAAGTTAACACATGGGGCATGAGTAGTCAGTTATATTAATCTTGGCAGTTACCACCGATGGACTGATAATCTTGGGTGTTGGCTATTGTTTCAAGAAATTGCCTCGAGAGGGTGATTATCCAAATTGCGCACACATGGCACACAACGAGAAGCCAGCCGCTGCTAGTTATTTTCGTTGTCAATCAGTTACAATGTTAACCCCTTTTCTCTCGCTCGTATGCAGTCGAGAGAAAAAAATAAAAAAAATACCAAACAGTGCCTTCACCCCCAAGAGAACAAGGACAAAAGCTTGGCACAAAGAAACGTAACAACCATTTGGAAGTCGTCGATGATGATTATGATGATTATTGTTACTTTCCCTCTATATACTGTCGCCTCTACAAACCACCACGACGACGACGAAGAACAAGAAGGGGGAAAAAGGAACAGCCGAAAGAAAGAAACAGAAACGCCGTGCAGTGGTGCAACTCGCCCCTTACAACCCCCCACCCCTTACTTTCGTCCTGAAAAGTCGTGCGTACCTACGTGCACGGCCGTTACGTTGCAGGATTGTTGGGTAAGGCTACGTGTGTATAAGTGTATAATTCAGATGGACCGTTTTTCTGCGCTACATCCAGCCCCTCCTTTTCCACCTCTGTGCTGTGCTTATTTTTGCGCTCCCGACGACTCTGCGTCTTTGTGCTCCCCCGGCCACGCTTATACGCCCATTGTGTTTTCCTCATGTACGTACGCATGTGTATACGTGCGTTTTTCTTTTTTTTTTTTTTCTCCACGTGTCTGCGTAACGTTGAAATTTTCGACCGTCATTTTCTCCTGAGCCAAGCAGCCAGTCGCGCTCGAGGATAATTTAATATCCATGTTCCGAGTACGACGAGGTGCGTCAAATTTTCAAGGGCTATACAGGCAAATGGCACAACAAAGTAACGAGAGATGAGAGGTATCCATCAACCTAAAAGAGTTACGTATTCAAATTCCAATTTCCATCATTAGGATGATTAAAGATGATGTAGTGATTTCGAAACACAAAGTCCCAAGAACACCGATGTAAGGTTTCCCTCTCCACGTCGCAGAAACAGTGCCCATCGTACCCCTTGTGCTTGTCTACTAGGGTAAAATCTGTTCTGCATCCCCCTGTAACGACAACAGCACAGCATCAGCCCTGGGGCGCAGTTGAAACAAGCCGTTACGCCGAGGAGCTCGAACAATGTCTTTGCTAGAGTAAAAGGAAGAAAAAGGAGCCACAAAACAATAGCTTGCACCCAATGAGTGCAGGAAAATTGCAAGAGCAAGAAGGCGGTTCTGTACACGTAATAAAAAATCAACAAGTACTAGCGTGGCGTACAATGTTGAAGCAGCAGCTCCAGGGGTTTTTCACGTAAGAAAAAAAGAGGTTTTGATTCGTCCATCGCAACGTCAATGTGCCATACGGACAACCCTATACACTCGGTTCGAAAAAAAAANTTTGATGATGTAATTAAATGAAATATTTAAAGAAAAATTAGTATTCAATTCGACTACGACTGAGCAAGAAAAAAAGCTTGCTTTGCCCAAGCACTAATAGCATTTCGTAATCAAGATCCATGAGCGGTAATTGCATTTTTTTTTTTTTTTGTTTCCAGCCTCATTCAATTTCCCATTTCTTGATCAATACAAAGCGACGACGACGAGGAAAGAGGAAAAAGATATTTTCAAACTAACAGAGTGAAAAAAGAAGGGATTTTTATTTTTCCCAGGCAATTTATGACCCAAGAGGCGTATAAGCTCGAAATTACGGGCCTTACGCGCATACACATCCATTTGGATTGTATAGTTGTTTCCATCGAAGCGCGGACACGAGAGGGGGAGAATTTGGTATTTCCAAAATAATAAATTTCGGGCTTACACGGGAGTCCTCCCTCCGTGAGATGGGCGGGCGCAGCCTCTCTGGACTGGTTTAGCTCCGACCGCAAGCTATTACACATGCGAGTATCGAGAGAATCGGGGATTTGAAAAGCAGATAATATTACACGTCCCTCGAACACCTTACGCGCGGCGAGTGTTTTTTTCCTCAAGAGAGAGAGAGAGAGAGGCTCGAGGATACTCTCGGGGAAAGGAACAGGTTGGGTTTAATTGGGAGGAAAAGGTATTGGTCGCTCGTTCGGTCCTTTTTTCGGAGGACCCCCTTGAGCAACGTCGCTCGAAAATGAGATTTTGAAAAAGAAAGTTCCCAGGACCCGTTAGGCTCATATTCCTACAACTGTAAATTTATCTGAAAAATCATCAATAAGAACATTATCTGTCCTTTACAGAGCAACGTATATATACGCCCAACGGTCGGTACATAGTAACAAAGGGTTGGAGGGTAAAGGCGTCTTCCTTCGAAAAGAATCTCCCGGTATGGAAACACGCGAGGAGATACCGAAGCGCAGGTGGAGATCATAAGGGTGGAGCAATTGCTCGTACGCAGCCGATCGAATTTCATCGAGACACTCGTATATTTATACACGTATAAGAAGAAGAAGAACGACGAGCAATATACATATATGGAATTGCTGGGCTGTGAATTTTAATAATCGAGCGATGGTTGTATGTGTAAATTTCCTCTCCCGGGATGATGATGGAGAGTCGGTTGGCCGACAGTTTGAAGTTTCCCAGCGTTGGGGCGCGCCCTGTAACGGCCGTGCTTTGTGGATTAGCATAAGGTCACTTGCATCTCCCCGTAACGGAGTCGATTAAAAAAACAACCGTCCGGGAACTGGTTGTCCCGGTCTTCCGATGGAATTGGATGCGTTAGATGCACGAAAAAAAAAAAAAAAAAGAACAATAATCGTGTCCAGGTCCGAGGGGCGTAATGTTGTAAATACCGTTATCTGCCGCTTCTCGGCAACTAAGTCCGAGGCGGAGGGAGAGAAAACCAGTCGCAAGATATTACCAGCGATCCTCGTCCAACTGCTCCTCCGTACACCATCTCTCCCTCGTTTTCTACGCAGGACCCTCGTTTTTCTCTTCCTTTTTTTTTTTTTGGAGGGAAGCCTCTCTTTCGCAACAACGGCACCGACGATTCTCACAGCTGGAGCGGAAATAATCGACGAGAAGGGCGATACTGCGAATTTTGCGCCGCAACCGACCCACCTCAACTGCGTCTTGCTTTTGGTAAACACCACGTGGCTTCTTTTGGGGATCGACTAAAGTATACCCATCGCCGATGCAGTACACCCATTCGAATCGAAAAAAAACAAAAATTCCTACACATGCTCGAGAAAAGCAAGGGAGAATCCTGTGGATAAGATACCTAATATACGTACGTACCTTAGAAACTTTCATTTCGCGGGTGTCAACACGTTGCATCAACGAATATCGCTCATCCAGCTATGTATTTCACATTATTGTATACGTGTTTACTCCCGAATGACTATTGATTTTGCTCAACGTGCCTGAAAACCCTGTAGGTCCCTCCTTGCGCCTTTTTGTCTCGAGACGGCACATCTCACGCGTCATCGGTAACTCT